GCTCCGGTCCCCGCCTCCCACCTAAAGGCTGGCGGGGGAGTTGACTCTTCGCTCTGGTGATAGAAACCAAATAGTCACCGGGGAGGAGGGGTTGAGAGATTCTTTTGTGCCTTTGATCTCCGGCAGACCCTGGAACCCGCTCAACACGGATCTCATTAATGCAGCTCGGCAGAGGAGCGACCCCGGGAAGGAAGCGCGGTCCGCGGAGCGGCCCCGGCTGTTGGGTCAGATCAAAGCGGTGAACTGAGGCTCATCAGAATTTCTGGAAGCTGCTTTCCCGTCTTGAGTTTCTCTCCTGCGGTCAGGCGAGCAGACGTTTTCCTAGCCGCGGGGGGGAAAGCAGTTTTGTAAACTGGAAGAGGGCGTGGCCAATTGCACCTTTAAAAAACGTAACCTTGTCCTGGGACCTAAAGGAAACAGAGATAAGAAAGTCGCGTGGATGAAGGATCAAACCCACCAGGTACGGACGGAGTCCTGGTTTCCTCTATGGCAGGTCCTCAAACTTGAGCGTGCACAGGACTCACTTGGAAAATTTGTTAAAATGCAGGTTGGAGTTCAGTGGGGTGAGCGCTGACCATCTGCGTTTCTAACAGGACCTCAGAGGGTGGCACCTGGACCTGTGCAGATCTGCACACTGAAGCCTGTCTGTCACAGGCAGAGAAAGCAGAACCGAGGCTTAGAAACTTTTGTAACGATTTTTAAATGCCACGACATCCAGGCGCCTGATCGTTGGACTCTTTGAACCGAGTATAAACCAGTTCGGGTGTTGTCAGACTGCATGGTGAGTCATATACCTGGCACAGCAGGGATCGCCTATTGGTTCCTAGCAGATCGTTGACAAAAATGACTGGTTCTTCACCACAAGTAGTTTGAAACGCGCTCTCTGGGATTTGCCAACTCATGCTTTAAAACTCAAGCCAGAAAGTCACATCTTCCAGAGGAAACCTCCCGGGAGATGCCAAGCCACTCACACTGCTTCCGGCCCCGCCGAGACATGTGGCTTATTTCTAAGACTATTGAAGAAACTACATCATATTGTAAGGGGCTTTTTATTGCTGTCCTACCCATCTTCTGTTAGGAAAATGGAAGCTCCTTAAGAAAGGGAACTGCGCTTTAAAATTTGCATCCCCTGTCTTTCTCGAAGAATGAATGAACCCTTGTGTGAAACTCCAAGCATGTTTATAACCCGTCTCAGAGCCGTTCTCCAGCATTAGTATTTATTCAGCCCAGCCCCCTGTGGAAAAACGTCATGGTATAAATTTGTGATAGTGCACGATGCTGTCGCCCTGTTTCATAGGTTTAGACGCCTACGCCAATAAAGACCCTGTCCCAGATTGAAGATCGAGCCAGGATAAATAACAGCAATCCCAGGCATCAAAGTGCTTACTCAAATGAGTCCTACTGCCACCTGTGTTCAAGTATGGGAGCAGAACAATTACAGTCATTATGGTATTATTAATCTGTACAGAACATCTTCCAAGAGAAATTACCAGGCAGCTTGTTCAAGTGGGTGTGTGGGTGGGGCGTGGATCCCAGCAGCAGCCCAGGCACTGAGTAATGTATTGGGCAGTCTTGGCCAAGACGCTTTCCAATATTGGCTCATCAATTGTAACAACTTACCATACTAATACAACAATTTAGTAATAGAGGAAGCTAGGGAAAGGGGCAGTGAGGGAGTAGATGGACACATTCCCCTCCTTTTTTTAAAAAATATATTTTATTGATATTTTACAGAGAGGAAGGAAGAGGGAGAGAGAGATAGAAACATCAATGATGAGAGAGAATCATGGATCAGCGAGGAAGAGAGAGGGATAGAGAGTTAGAAACATAGATCAGCTGCCTTTTGCACACCTCCTACTAGGGATGTGCCCGCAACCAAGGTACGTGCCCTTGGCCGGAATTGAACCTGGGACCTTTCAGTCCGCAGGCCTACGCTCTATCCACTGAGCCAAACCGGTCAGGGCATTCCCCTCCATTTTTATGTATACCTAAAACTGCTCTAAAAATAAAGTCTAAGTTTTTAAAAGTCACATTTCTGTTGTTTAAGAAGATATAGTTAATTACCCCCCCCAACTTGACTCATATGAAGAATATGAGCCAGATCCAATCCATAAGGGTTGAATTTTACTAACGAATGTCACTGCTTTCCTGTGCCAGGTTTTAAAAAAAACTTTTTTTTAAAAAAAAAAAAAAAAAAAAAAAAAGCTTGTTTCTTAATCTCAGGTGTGGGCTGAGTGCTTAAAAATCTGAATGTTAGTAAGCACCCAACTAGGCAATTCTCAGTGTGAGAATCGCTGCTTTAAGGTTGTCAGAATTCATCAGATTTTCCTCATGAATGTACATTCTCAAAGAGGTGTAAAGATAAACTGGACAGTTAGGCTATTTGCCGAATAAACAGCAAAGGTCGTGATTATATATATGCTTTCTATATAGGATATCCAACTTTCATGTTTTTGGGGTTGAATCCAGTGTTTAAAAGGACTCTTACATTTACAAGGGCTTTGACAAAATTGGGCAAAAATGGGGAAGCATTTTAAATCCTTAGATTTCTAAGAATATCCATTTTTGTTACCATTTTTAAAAAGTTAAGTGCTTCCTTTCAAGGGTCTGTGGAACCCTTTGGTCAAAGCTGTTTGGGTTAAAACAGGTAAACCCTGCCTTCAGGTACAGAGGCTCAGGAATGTTAATGCTCTGAGGCAAAGCTCCTTCCCAGTCACCCTACTTATTTCTCAGACACCATGCGAATGGAGTGCTATATTTTCAAATTAAAACATCAATAAAGCTCAAACAACATTCTCTTATTTAGCTGCACAAATTAATCCACAGCTGACAAAACTTTATCTTAATATAGGTGGAACCATTTTGCCTCTTTAAAGGAGGATTATGTATGCATATATGTGAGTGAAGTACTACAAAGGTCCTGTTTTGTTTCCCACCCAAGAGTTTGTTTTTAGTTGAAATGGGTTGTCTTAACTTTCTTTGTGATTTCAAATTGCTTTCTCTGCTGTTATTCTGTTGCTTCTTAGCAGCTCTTAATCTGGGTGTGTTTAGTGTGGAGCGGCTTTTCCATTACCTTTGTTTTTATAAAATACTCACCTCTAATTGCTCCAATCAGAGTAATGGTTTAATTAGTAGTTACGGAAAGGGAAAGTTCTAGAAGTTTCTTTCACACAAATTAGAGGTTAATAACTGACACAACTGTAAAATACTGTTCTTCATGTTTAACTAAACAACATTTCCTCCTTTCGGGTCACTTATAGTCCTGGATGTTTAAAAATCCACGTGTGTTTGTCTTTTTGAACAAACAAAAATTAAGGGAATTTTTAAATTAAGGGAATTTTAAACATTTGCAGACAAGTGTTTCTTTTATTTCTTATAAGTTGCAATTCAAAAATCCGGAAGGACATTTTTCTCCATGTGAAACTGCAATGGTGAAAGATTTCTATGAAAAGAATAAAATTGAGGAAGGGGGATACTTGAAACGCTTCACCTTGTAATAGAATTAAACAAGTACAAAAGTACAGAAATAAAGCAAGCATAAGACACCCAACAAAACTAATTTGTTAGCAGTCAGTCATTTTTCTAAGCGAGATGGGCGAGGGCACTCAGTGGACAGTCGATTCTGACTAAATCCCAATCACTGCAAAGCCTCAGGAATGCTTTCTCAATTGGGAACCCACACAAACACCGAGAGTTGTTTTCATAAATTAATCCATTTCCATTTAAAGCGGTTAGTCCGGCCTTGCTGATTGTGATAAACAAATGGTATAAATCCTGGGAACACTCGGTGATGGTCTATTCTGCCCCAGTGGACTGTTGCTTCCCCATTTCCTTGTATCTTCATGCTCCCATCTTTTCTTACAGTGGCTCTGAGGCTGACTCTCCAGTGTTACCCTCTCTCCACCTCTGTTGTTGCTGTTGATAATGCTAATGTTTACCACTTCTGAACCTTGTGCCCTCACATATTCTCCCCCTTCCTGAATCTTTCTGCTCACATTATCCAAGCCAATATATGTGACTGTGTGTATTTGACTTGAAAATAGCTGTTTTTTAACCTAATTGCTCCCTGAACTGTTAAGCCATCTCTTTTCGAACCCCTAACTTTTCACTGTCTACAATTCATCTCTAAACAATCAACTCCAACGCCTTACAATGGGATTTTTGCCCTTCATCCCACTCTCTTGAAGATGGCCATAACCTCAAAATAATCAAGTTCAATAGCCTGTTCTCAAATTTCATCCTCCTTGACATTACCCCTCTTGTGAAACTCTCTAACATCTTAGTTTCCAGGGCCAACTTCACTGTTGTGCCACCTGCAGAGTTAGTTGCACAGGCTCAGAAGGACCCCGTTCTTGGTTTTGCCATCATAAAATTCTTGCTGATTTTTTAACAAAAGACCTTGCTTTTTTCCCCTTCTGCACTGGGTCCGGAAAATTATGTAGCCATTCCGACCTAGCTTTTCTCACACTGCATTGGTCTGGCCCTCCCACCTCTTTGACCTGTTTCTCTGCCACTTTTACAGGCTCCCTCCCTCCAGCCTCCAAAATGTGGTCATTCCTAAGCATGCATTTTAAATCTCT